TCTGCTTTTCTTTAAGGCATATACCGAATGTTGCAAAATTTAAGGATCTTTATATTATTGAAATATGGACATTAATTAAAGAGAAACGTTGTAAAGTTTTATGGCTAGCTATAAGTCAAGCACTTTGTATTCCTGATGGCTAAAACCTATTCAAATTATATTATACAAAAAAAAAATTAAAGCAATAATTTCAAAGAGAAACTAAAATTTGGTTTAATAAATCTAATTAAAAATATTGTTTCGTTTTAAATTTATCTTTCCTAGAGCAAACATTTTTGCTTTAAATAAAGAGAAAATAAAAATGTTGTTTAATTTTTAATAATAATTTTTTTGATAAAACATTGTTGTTTCAATAAAGATAAATTATAGATATTGTTTCATTTTTAATTTATGTTTTTTCGCGTCAAAATGTGTTTAATTTAATTTTTTTCTAAATAAAATATCCCAAAAACACAACAAAAATACATCAATCTTTAAAAATGTATAAAAAATATACTTAAATAAAAATAATTAAATATATTGTTCAATTTTTGGTTTATCTTTCCTAGAGCGAAAAATATATACTGATTACATTTTTTATGAAGGGCCAAAATTATTGTTTAAATTAAAATAAATTATAACTATTGCTTAGTTTTAAATTTGCATTTTTACAGAGCAAAAAAATTTTCAATATTTACTTAATCTTTTTTAGAGCAACAAATGCTTTGCTACTAAATTTTTAAATACACCTAGTATAAGTTCCACATATAATTGTATTAGGTGAATTCTCTCAGTGTATTTTCTGTTTAAGTGAGCCGGTTCAGTTAGCAGCTACACGAAACTGGCGCGACATAATCCTCGAGTATTTTCACGCTGCCAATGCACCTTTGACTCCATAGATGCAGGCCCCTCGACCTATCCGCCCCCGTTCCCCTTGTCCAACTCATCAAATTGCCATTACTTTGTCCTTAGTAAATCCGACATGGACTGCTGAGCTGACAGCAGCTGTTGCTCCCGCCCGGCCAGGTTAAGGGTATTAGATAAATATGCAAATGGAAGGCGAAGTGAGTAACCAGGTTTCTGGCACATTAAGTATACGACATGTTATTCGCGATTAGCAACAACTTTAAATTGCCTTCGCTCAATACATGCCAGACAGCTGCCGAAACATGCCAGTTCATAAATCATGAAGTGTCCTCCAATCCTTATTAATCGCCGGGTTCAATGACCCCACAAAACACTTGCCGCGCCCAACTTTTCATATAGTTTGCGACAATCCTTTCTTTTTTTTTTTGCTACCCAACTTTAATTTTTATCAGCGTCCACGCATGTCAGCTTGAACCTTCAACCTCTAACCCAGCTTTTTGTTTAGTTTTATTTTAGCTTTTATTTATTTGTTCCCTTTTTTATATATTTTAATTTAGTTCTCTCTGCGTGTTTGGCAATTTCGGCTCGGCTCATAATTCAAAATGAAAATAAATAGAAAATGATGTAAGGGAAAAATCAGTTCGCATCGCGATAACTCTTAGAAATGCCCACCACATTTTACATATAAATTGCCTGTGACTGCAAAAACTGAAAGTGAAACCAAAAGATTTATATTTAATCTGAAATCTGGGTGGGCCCATGAAATAGGTAGAAATTGGGCCATACACACATGACAGGCAAATAGCTTAAGGAATTTCTATTACGGTTGGATATTCACAATCAAATATCTGTGATTAGGCGTTTTGTTAAATAACACAAATATGCCAATTGTTTCCCTTTTAAGGTACGGAGCGAATAAATATTGAAGACACCAATGCGAAAAAATTGTTTAGTTTATCCAAAGTTACGCACATTTTTTTTGGATGCAGACCAAATACAGAGACCAAGAGTCTAGGCAAAATGTTATCAAAAATATCAATTTATGAAATTTTATGGAAACATAAATTCTGGCATATATAAGAACTATTTTGAAACTTACCTACAAAAACTGTCTCCATTTTTGGTACAAAATCAAACGGGCAAATAAACTTGAACCAAAATATCTATATATATTAGATAGGAAAGATGTTTTTTATATTAATATATTAATAAAAAGCCAGATATAAAGCAAAAGAATAGAACTAATTATAAAAATCTATTTTGCTGAGTTATTTTCTTGCCAATATACTTACTTAACATTAAATAAATGCAATTAATAAATTAGTCAATTTCAATGAAATTGTTTTAATTACAGAAAGATAAGGGAAATCAAATTAAGCCGCATTATAAATATCTAAAAATCATTTTAAACAGATATTATTGAAGAATTAAAAATAAATTTAATTTGACAGAAAAATAAGAACATATTATTAAAGAAAATAAATAATATAAGAGTAACTAAAGAAACGTTTCAAAAATATCTATAAAATTTAATATAAATATTTAAAATAATATAAACATATTTTAAATTAATAAAATAATTTTAAAAAATTTAAAATATTTAAATTAGTTTTAAAATGTAAATGTGCATTGCATGAAAGAGGAATCTATAAGCTTTAAATGAATTTCTACTTAAACTCAGGCATATTTATAATTTTAAATGTTAAGTCTTTGGCTTTAAAAAGTCTTTACTATGGATTTAATAGCTTACCAAGTGAAAATCAATCGACACTTGTGTCTGTGGACCTTGCTGCAGGATACTTCTCAGTCAGGCATGAAAATTCAGTTAATTCACAGGCCATGTTAAATATGGCCCCAAAGCGAAACTTGGCTATTCAGCATGGCCTGTGCCCCATTCTGGGAATCCAATGCTTAATGTGCTTCCTGTTGACCAGGCCAGGAAAACGTGTCCCAAGTTTATTCAGGCGGCATCGAATGACATGTCAAACACGCAACTGGGCCGATATTTGGGCAAATGTTCACAAAGGTCACAGAACTTCCCGCTCTCTCACTCACTTTATCTCTAACTTTCTCTCCCTCTCTCTCCCTCGCCCTGCTTGGTTTTTCTATCTTTAAGCCAGGAGGAATATTGATTATTGTTGTTGCGGGCAGAGCTTTCCGCGGGATTTCGAGCAGCTTAGAGCATTTTGGACAATTTTGTTTGTGTATAGCTCTTGGCCAATGACCTTGTCCCCAGCCGCTGGCACCAAAATTTATGACATTAAACCAAATGAGACAACATTTCTTTTCTCTCTCTCTTCTTCTTTTTCTTGGCACTTAGTGGCTTTCAAGTGCTGAAAATAGATGGTGGGAAAAAAAGGCAGGTTAGGCGGTAATTTCTTGATAAATTTTGTGGTCTTAGAGGAAAAGCAAAAATGGACATCTTTAATTTTGGTAATATCCAATGGCCCATTTGGCCTTATTAGGACATTAAATTTGTCACGCTGATTATCGCTTGTCTTAAGTTAATTAGTTTTGTCAACAGAAATTGTTTAGCATTTGATTTTGAGATATCGTACAGTAAAATTAGGTTTGAAATGGCTAGAAAATGAAACCCAGAAAATAAGGTTATATTCAAATAAAAAGAATTTTAAAAAGTGAGGTTATTTTGAATATGCATCAAAGAGAATAACAGAAGCAAGAAAAAGAGAGCATAGATAGAATCTTAATCTGTAAAAAAATAAAAAAAAATAGTAATAGATTCAATAAAATGCTGAGCATATATTTTAACAGCAGCAAAGAGAGAACCCTACAACACGAGCTTGACTTAAAATATGTACAATATATCAAAAAAAATTGTGAGGTTATGTTCAATCAGCATCAACTGGAATAAAAGTAGCACGTAAAAGTGAGGTTATATGCAAACAGGATCCTCTCTCGGAATACACATAAGAATTTAAATAGCAGCCTGTGCAGGCAATCAAAGTGCGCCGTCCAACAATTTGCATAAAAAATCGCACAAATATTTATTCATATGCATTCTCTTACATGCACTCAAAGTGCCAGCAAACAAAAAAGAATAATTCAAAACAAAAAAAGTCCCAAAAAGAGCTGAATTTTTGGCATTCGGTTTTTATTGACGCAGCCAAGAAGCAAAAAGAGAAAAACAGATGACAAAAAATTGTTTGTTTCTGATTTTGGATTTTATTGTGGCTGCTGATATTGACTTTTGTTTGGGAACTTTTTCTCACCCATTTTATGTTTGTTTGGATACGCTTCATAAAGAAAATCTCAACGATTTATCAATTTGAAATACGAAAAACAAAAAAACACTGAAAGGAAAACTGAAATGCTCGAACATTTGCTGCACTTCAATGTTTTCTTTATGCAAAGCGAATGAGAAATTTGCCCCCCTATATCATATTATGTCAGGGAACTTTTTTAGCTGGATAAGGTATATAAGGCCGTTTATTAACTATGGGACTCGATAATTTTATACTCTTTTAGAGGGTATTATAATTTTGTCCGGATGTGTGAAGGAGACATAACCGAATATATGTATTTTAGATCAACATCAACAGCTGAGTCCGAGGGTCTGCCTGTTTCCAAGCGAACTAATTCTTCAATTTACAAGCTATCACCTTGAAACTTTACTTTCTTTCTGTTGCAGGCAGTACATATATCGGACCCCCATATCATATAGCTGCTCATGCAACGAATAGTAGGCTCTCGTATAGCATGGTATTCAATTTTCCAACATATTTTTTTTTTATTTAAACTCACAAATCTCTCAATTCTCACAAGTCTGCTAAGGGAAAATGTCTATAAGGGTATTAAATCTTTGGCGTGCCGAATATATCCTTACCTTTTTATATTTTCTCTGATTTATTTTTGTTTTACTAACATGACAGGGTATCTGCAAGTCTATCAGCCATACCAGAGCAGCTACTCAAAGTAATTGTGGCACTAAATTTGATCAAAGGTTATCGAAATGAAAAAATATATTGGCAGTAGAGCTTGTACCGAAAACCAGATACCCTAGATTAATGACAAAATATTGAATATTCCCACACAAAAGTATCTAGTTGGCATTGAAGGGAAATTTTGTGTTTGACGTAAAACATTTTCGTGGACCTCACATAACAAACACAAACCTGAAACTGATCGGACTGTTTAATAAATTTTTTTTTAATTTCTTTTTAATCGCGTTTAGAATCTGCTTCTCTCAAAATTTAATGTTTGTGTTTTTATATCTTTAACTTTTTATATGCATGTATATATCTTGGTTGCTTTTTGTTTCTTTTTTTTTTTTTTATTAAATCCAACTCAAAATGAAGTCTTCAGTGTTCAATACACTGACCTATCAGAATATGGTAAATTCAAATAACAAGCTCAAGTTTTATACAGTACAAAAAGAGTTGACAAGTCCATCGAATATCCATGAATTGATGGTAGCATCGCCCACCAATGCCGATCTGCGTGGATCAAAGTTTGTGAAGCCCTCCAAACGTCGCGGTCGCGGCGACCTGTCGTCTAGGCAGGTGCCTGATTGGTCGCAGATTCTGGAAGAGTATATGCCACGGCCCTACAATCGTGGCAAACGTGCCAATGTGGCAATGCCCGTGGTATTGCGCAATAAGAGTCCGTTTACACGTTTGAATCCCGAAATTGTGCCACAGAAGCGCGTCATGGAGACGTCCTATTTGCGTTTCCTATATAGAACCTATACGTTGCCACACAATAAGAACACAGATGTCCTGGAAAAATTGCCCAGCGGCGATTCGCACATCAACAACTCGGAGGCTGACGAAGACGAATATCAGCAACAGGCGTCGCGCAATACGGCAGGCTTTTATTATGAACTGATGAGAGGAATAACACGACTGGATCTACAGACATGCATAAATGGTTTCATAACTTCCCTGCAACGTTTGGCCGCAATCATACTCAACATGATATCTAGTGCGTATAACGTTTTTAATGATATTTTCCAACACTTTTTGTTTCCAACACCGTATACACTGGCCAGACTACGATAAATCATTATAGGTGTACCGATCAGCCGAATTAACGAATATATGTTAAGGACGTGCACATTTATGAGACGTGGTGTCGGTTTCGTGAGAGAACTTCTCAGCTACGAAGCAGAATCTAGACGCTTGCATCAAATTGCATACTATATATTGGTCATAACGAATCGATGCCAGAGATGCCACTGTCATTTAAGACATAATCCAACCATTGCGGACGCATTGCCACCAAACTCAGTTGCACCATATCGGACAAGGGAGCGTTCCCTGGTGGACCGCGAACGAAGCATGCTTCTACTTGGTGTCGATTAGAAAACCTTATGCAAAAGCCCAATATAAGTAGTTATTTCTTTGTCGACAAGTCGATTAAAATTTTATGTTTAATTTACCGAACAAGCCAAATTGCTACCAAATATATTTTATTGAATTAAATTATATCATTTATATATCTAAATCTGTTTTTATTTATTTTGCGTATTTGGTATCAACCAACTTTGCTACCCGCCTCGCCTCGCTCACCAATCCCATGGCCCTTTCCATCCCGTTCCTAATAGTTCCAACGTCAGCCGAGACACTTGTGATTAAATTTAATAACCCATGTGATGTTTGAGCTATTCGGGCTTTAATGCTCCGCGCTTATTCTGATGCCCAACCGCGAATCTTTATTGCATAATATAGCGAGGGTTGGCATTTGGAGGAGGGGCACGTTGCCATAACAATTTACCTCGATGTCACCTCTGCGGATTCGATGCAAGCAGAGCTTGGGGAATTTTTTTTTATAGGAGTAACCAACGAGGCGCATTAAATAAACGCAACGAGACGAATCTCATTTAATTTTACGTTTACAATTTCAGAAATTCTCTACCAAAAAGTAAAAGTAAACAACAAGAAATCAAGTTTACTTTCTCTATAGAACACACACGAAATACACTTTCTCTGTCGGTCTGAAATGAAATAAATATGGGAGGGTATGCGAAAGAATATCCGTGTAGAATAAAAATTAATAAATTTCTTGAAATGAAAATAATTGAAGCAATTTTCATGTAGATTAAAACAATCGATTAAGAAACTTTCTGCTATCGATTAGATGTTTTAAAATTATATTTAAATCGGAAAGGAAAATGTTAATATAACTCCAGATATATTTAAATCTATAAAAACACTTTAACAATGTTTTTAATGCCCTATTTTTACAATAGATTATGTATATTTTATTTATTTTAATGTTAATTCTATTTATTTCAATGTAAATTCTTTTTTATGTCCCTTTAAGTCTTAAGTGATGCTGTACTGTTGTAAAAATATCGATTTAGTGATCGATAACAACCGAAAACTGTCGTTAATGCAGGAAGTGCACAGTATGCCCTTCATTTCATTTAAATGTATATAACTTATGATTATTGCTAATAATAAGATTTAGGTGTGACATATGAAAAATGAACTATAAATAACAAAAATCGATAACAAATGTAAATTGTCTATCGATAAGACGAGTCTTGTGATTTTTTAGTTGTCTTTTAATTTAATTGAGCATAGCTTTATTTAAAATATTACAGACGATGCACAGAAGCAAGAAGGTATTTATCGAAAACACAATTTTCAATATAGGCCAACCTTCTTTATCAAGTGAATGTACCCAGTTTTTGTGGTGCTTCAGCAAGTGTTGTCTAAGGGTTAGCAAAATTTGTTGCAAAGTGTTGTCTGGTTGTTTGTCTTTGTTGCTCGTCTGGCTTATCGCTGACAGCTTCTGTCTGGACAGATTCGTGTGCTAAATTATTGAAATTTGACAAGTGAACTGAGTACCGAGCGAGAGACAGCCATGGGGCAAGCTGGTCAATTGGCCAGCAGCGGCAGCAGCAGCTGCAGCAAATGTTTCGGTTTTCGGTAACAGTTTCAGTTACGGTTTCGGTTTGCGTTAAGAAATCCAATTAATTAGCGTTGACATTGCGACACTTGTGGCATGAAATTAAAGTCAAGCGTTGCCAGACATACGCAAATGTTGCTTAATTTGTCAATTATCGATTATTGATTATGCTGCCCCAAAATGTGCGACGCATTTTCGTATGTCTATTATTAGCCTTGATTGTAGGCGGCTATTGCGTATTATGACACTTGAACTCTTGATGCGAGCCAAAACTTGGCTAGCAAAGGTCGCCGTTCACATGAAGTTAATCAATGACTATTTATATTTGGCCATAAAAAACTCTTAGCCGCTTTAAAGCTTAAACAACCAGTTGCATTTGCCAGCTCACTGGTCAGCTTAGTGTCGCATTTGCTAGCATGTATCTTGTAGATACTTTTCGTAAAGCTTTAAGTTTTGCTTGTCAAATTAATCAAAACAATGTTGCGGCAAATGGCACAGCCAAGTGTTGGACTTATCATTCATTTATCTCTTTCTCTCTACCTCTTTCTGTCTCTCCCTCTCTCATAGCATTTCTAAAAACATTGCACGCTGCCAACATTTGCCTTTCATTCCATCCACTTTTATGGCCAATAGCATTTTATTAGAGCCAACAAACTATTTGCTGTAGTTAAAGCCAACTCAACACATGCAAATGCAACTGTTACTGTTAAATGGAAATAGAAATAGACATTTCTGCCAAGGACTGCAATTGCCTGGATAAAGGCTAGGTTGGCTCTTAAATAGTTTTCTTATTCCCAGCGCTGCGAACTGCTTCCAATTTACGACCACACTAATTGTCTTGGCACAGCGGCAACTGTTTTAGAAGCGCAACAGAAAATTAACAAAAAATAAAAAAAAACAAATTTCACTCAAGGTTCTACCGAGATTTGAACTCGGATCGCTGGATTCAGAGTCCAAAGTGCTAACCATTACACCATAGAACCGGTTGAAGAAGGCAGCCTAATTGGGGTAGTTATATCTCTTGGCTACATAGTATACGAAATTCATTGAGTGTGAGAAATTTTTGGCTGAGGCATGCTGATAAAATTGTCTATTTTTAGATTTTATAAGGTACTTCTTATGCCACGTGTGTGTGAGTTCGCGCGCGCGTGTGTGTGTGCGTGTTGGGAATTATTTCGTGGCAGTCGGCAGATAATTCAACGGCGCTCGAAAAGAAAATGTTTTATGCAAATTCTGCGATAATTATAGATAATTGTATACAAGAAAAGTTTAAAAGAGATCATTAGGTTATATTTTTATAAATATAAAATAAAACAACACCTAAATAAAAAAAATAATACATAAAAAGATTATTTATTAAATTGAAACTTGTAAACATAGTTATAAAAATATAAACATAAAAAAATAGGAAAAATTTAGTATAAGATAATTTACAAATTATTATAATTAATAGTAAATAAAATAATAATAAAATTTATATTTCAAGAAGATTTGTTTAAATATGTATATATGTATATACGTAAATATGCGGTATAAAATAATTTAATAAATGCAACATGTTAAATTATTTTGTAAATAAATATTAATAATCATAAACATATTTAGTTTTTAAAATATATTTCAAATAAAGTTAATAAAAATTAAATGTTTAATGAAAATACATAAATCTTAATGTTTAAAAAACTTGTTTCAAATTTAAATAAAGAATAAATTGTGAATTACAAATAAAAGCAAAACAAGCTGCATTTCAAAAATATTTGTTCAAATGTAATTGTATTATTTGACGAAATAACAAACATTGTTCAAATAAATCTCAACAAATTAAATAGGTTATTAAATATAAATACAAACTATTAATTTGATTGCGATAAGTACAACAATGTTTAAAATTTAAGTTTTAAATATGCTAAAATCTTCACATACAAATTTGCATTATATCAAGATAAGGCATATTATATGTCCTTTTTATATTTCTGTTTGTTTATTTATTTTTTTTTTAAACAAATAAAATAATAAGTTTTTCTTAAATTATATAGAAATAAAAATAATATATAACTAAATATATTATTATATTTTCCAAATAATCATTGAAAATTATTTTTTCGATGCTGAATTAAATTAATTAAAAAAAAAATGGATGAGATAGATATTTCGATAAAATTATCAGCTAAGTCAATTAAATTTAATCCGAAAAGGTAATAGTAAGGCAAATAAAATAAGACAAGCTTATTATATTATCTAAATATATATTATACCAGTTAATATTACACATTAATAAATACACTAATTATATTATCTCATTATGATGTAATATACAGTAAATAACAAGCATTTATAAATACAAATGATTAGTACTTTAATATCATAGTTTTAATGCATTTAAAAACTCGAATAAATCTCGCTTGAGCTTAATTAATATCTTCCCATTTCACTCAATCGATACACTCACGATTTGGCATTAAATATGATTTGTATAATCACAATTAAAGCTGAGGATAATATCGAGTAGCCACATAAGTAGACATCACATTAAGTCCCACTCGCAAGTGCCATAAAATCTGATATTTTTATGGTCAATTCTAAACAGTTCAACTTTACGCTTTACTCCTTTTGTTATCCTGCTGCCCCAATGGATGTAGGCGAGTGGGCGTGGCAAGACAATTATATGCAGTACAGAACAGTTCATTGTCTGGCTGTGTGTGTGTGTGTGTGTGTGTGTGTGTGTGTGTGTGTGTGTGTGTGTGTGTGTGAGTGGCGCATTTCAACTGAGTTAATTAGCCAAACACTTGTTATCCCAGCAGGATGCTGCCCTAAGCCCGCTGCGACCCCCCTCCCCCGCCATCCCGCCCACAACCCTTTAAGTACTATGAACTTGTTGAAAATGCCAACACACGTTCATTGCTTTTGCTAACCTGTGCTTAAACGGTTTTCGTGTTTTTTTTTTTAACACATCAGCACATCATTTGCATGCGTTTACTGTGTGTGTGTGTGGGCGTATGTGTGTGTGTGTCTGTGTGTGTGTGTGTGTGTGTGGGCGTCTCCTGGCGCTATAAACAGCAACTTTGTGCCACGTAATTTGATTCAGTTGACGACAATCTCATTAACTTGACATCGGAATCAGAATCGGGATTGACTTCGAAATTGTAGTTCAATTTAGTATTCATTTCATCCCGTTGACAGGACTCGCCTGTCATATAAAGCGCACTTAAGGCACAAGCATATAAATGATGTCTGTCACTGGACTTATATGCGCTTTATAAAGCACACCCTAACCGACCCAAACACCCCCCCCCCCCCTTCCCTTGGGCAATGCAATTGTCTTTCAGCTCGGCTAAGATGTTAACCAATGCTTGGTAAATTGATAGCCTCACAGACGTGCATATACTTATGTATATCACTGTCTGTCTTCAATTTACAGCACTTTTTTTATATTTATTTGCGGCGAATCCAGCAAAAGCTTCGCATAACATTAAGCTTTTGGAAGGTTGTCAACTTGGCTATATGCACGAGCTTTAGCGAAAGCTTTTACAGTCTGTCGAAAAAGTGTTTGA